TTGACGATAACATTAATAAAAGTCTCTTAATATGAACTTTGTAAATATTCCGTAAACAAACAAAAATAGCTCATTGATTCATTTTGTCATTTATTCTATTTATGCGTCAAGATCAAAATCCCATTGTCAACTAAGGATTCACTCGCTGACGCGTTCACATTAGGAAATGTCTTTTAATACTCGCCAGATGCGCTGCTGTACAATGATTTTGATTCTACGCTCATGTTAGCCATAGATGAATGTAGTTGCTCATCATGATCGACACTCATCCCTACCAAATGTACAAAGTATAGGCCATAATGATTTAACACATAGCTTTTCACACACCACACCCTCACCTAGATATCGATCTTACTCTCATCCGCAAGGTGCATTACTACTATGTTCAGGGATGATGTGAAGATTTTCAAGAGATTGTATTTCATGAAGACGAGTTTTGTAAGTAGTATTTGTGTAGCGTCGTAGTCACCTAGTTATGAAAATAGTATCCATTGGCTGTTTTCTCACAAATCTATCAGATTTTGTCCAAATGCCTAGTTCTTTATCCACATACTCGGAACACCTAAAAGAAGCTGTTTAATGAACGACACATGAAACGACTGGGATGAGTCTCAAATAGTCTAGGTACGCTTGAAATTTTGTGCTCTATCCGATGGTGAGAGAATCAACTCAACATACATCTTTCGTTCTTATGAAATCGGCAGATACCGCACACTATGTGATCCGAACGTAGTCAGAATCTGTCCATTTCACAAGAGCGAAAGATATATGTTGAGTTGATTCTCTCACCATCGGATAGAGCACACCACGCGTACCTAGACTATTTGAGATTCACTCTTGATTTCACGTTAACTTTAAGGTCGCATACTCTTCAAGGAACATCAAATGGGTCAACCGAAATGTCGCCATTGCTCTGCCAGGTTACACTTGATTTTCTATTTCGGCCACCTAGTTTGTGAGGATCTTGGATTCCTCTAGTGGCTAACTCTAATGGTGAAGCTAATGTGAGAATCAACTCTCACATCTCATGTTTATTTGCTGTAAGTGAACGTCTGTATATAGCACGGTGGTCAACTGGGAAAATCCAAGAAGGGAAAATCTCAAGATGATACGCAGCGAACAGTTGGGAAAAATCCCAAGAACTGGATAAGTCATGAAGGAAAGAAAGGAGAAGACAACCGAGACAGCATGAACATTGCATACAGTGTATATTGCGTAAAAAATTGGTTGATCCACTGTTGATCTAGGAGACTCAACTTTTCTGAAGCAAATTTTGATGGTTTTTTTCATGGAAGTTGAGGAAGACTCAAAAGTTGTTGTGTGTTTTGCCAAAAAAATTCTGCCTTATTGATTTATGGAACCCAGCGTTTCTTAGCACGTTGCGTTTCACCGCTGGAGAAGCACTTGCGAGAGTCTGTTCGGGATGTTAAATGAGGTATGTCTTGAGAATGGAAATCGAGAAGTGCATTTTTTGCTGCGATTTTCTGACAATGTCTCTTGACGGTTGAGGACTTTGAAACTTAGCTGACCCATAGATTCTGATTTACATCGACGTTCCCGGCTTCCTCTATCGAATTGTGAAAACACAAACTCGATATCTCTAAACATTCTCAATATATAACAAAAATGCATGGCATTTTTAAACATCTGATATTATTATTGAAAATATTTGTTTATTTATGGTTGTCATGAGCTTTAGTCAAAACTACCTTATAAAGGGAATGAATTACATCTCTTTTCTGGAGAAATTTCTTTCTTCGCAGATATCCTTGTTTATCTGCGTCATCGGCTAGGAAAAACAGAACATATTCAGATGTATTTGCGATGCTCAATCAGTTAAAGAATGGAGAATTCTTTGTAGTCCTACCTTTTACCGTGGCTTTATCAGGTTTGGTGACAAAGCTAGAAAAGAAAGAGAAAATAACAGCATAATCGTTCTGAAGTTATAACTACCTGCTCATGGGTTTTTGAACCGATTGCATAGTGTCCGAGCAAATTTTGGGCACTTGTTCAGCGTCCTAGAAACAAACATGATTACATGCTTTGTTCGGATATGTAAAAATTCTCACAGAGACAGTGTCAAATTGAAAAAAATCCCCTTTTTCCTTGGTAAAAACTGAAACTTTTCACGTATTAGAAGGTTACACACTACTATCACGTTCCCACTTTTGGGGGCCTTGTGGAACAGATGCACTCACCTTTAGCACAAAATCAATGAGAGGAAATGGTGGTTCAATCTCCTTTAATTGAATAATGTGAAGACCGTTGCCCGAGTCCAAACACCCGGTGACTTGAAATTGTCGAGCAGCCAGAAGGAGAATTTCGTCTTCAGTTGGATAAAATGAATGTTGACGAATGTCTTTGCCGGAGTGACATTCAATATGAAACATTGTTCTTGCGCCTGTCTTGCCGAGAAATTGTTCTGATTGGAGTACCTCGACAGCAGTGGTACACGATGAGAATCCCCACCAAACAAATGTCTTCCCTTTGGGATACAAATAATGCAAGTCCATTTTCACTCCACGATAGACAGGACGAGCAATTGGCCGCAGTTTCGAGAGAGCGACTATAACAAGTCGCAAGTAGTGATACCAAGGTACTAAGTTTTCTCGTTTTGCGTCACGAAGGGCTGCGTTGAGAATATGAAAGAAAGAGTTCTCTCGCGGTGTCCATTCCATCGTATAGAGCATAATGGCAGCACACTCGTCACTCGTCAAACCATCTTGTGGTTCATCACAGTTCTGTTGAACTGTCCATACCATTTGCTTGACATCGGGCACGAGCGAGACTAGAGGCTTGATAGCGTCTTCGAGAGAGACGACATCCTTGGTCACATAGACTTTGATTGGCACTAACATTCGTTTGGGCTCTCCAGCAACGTCAGAAAACCGTTGGATGTGTCTTGGCTCAGCGTTATCGACATATTTTGAGGCCATTTTCCAAAAATGAATGATAGATTACAGTAGAGATTCGAATGAATTCTTGAAGGAAACAAACAAAATTGATGAGCCGAGAGAACCAAATATCATCCATTGAATGAGCACAACATCTTTATAAAACCCGTTTGGATCTCTTTCGATCACTAGCCATTGAAAGGGCAAAGTTATGTTTGTTTGGAGATGAATATATTGGTGAGAGAAACAAAAGGGGTTTGCTGTTCGGCTATTTCCTAAATATCATCAATGGTCTTGTTGCTCGAAGAGATCTTTTAGAAAAATAGTACTTCTGACATGTGACATATTGCTCAGAGCAACAAATCTTGTTCTGCATGCAGAGTTTATGCTTTTGAAAACGTTTATGAAAACAATAGATGTTACCATTCAAGGGAAAACTGGTTGTGGATTTCCACAACAGCTTAAAAATTCAACTATCGGATATGACTAGATTAATCGAGAGAAGTGAATTAAACCGGAGTCAAAAGGAATGATGATATCAGCGGGACTATCTCCTCTCACACACGATCCTGTTCGACTTTTGTCTTGTTTGGTGCTCGAAATCGGTGACTTTTCAACTTTGACGTTTAGTGGATATGACAAGTATCTCTTTTAGGGACCATGCAATCGAAATGTCTCGACTAGATGAATGGAACTAGCCTTAGAAAAGTTGATCCCGTGAAAATGACAACTATTTAAAATAAACATTTTTGGTCTTAGCAGCATAGTCTTCTCGTGGATTCTCGCACAATCACTTCAAACGATTTTCGAGCGCTAAGCATTTTCACGAACTTTTCAGTTTGTTGTCCGAATTTTTTCCGAAGTACTTCTTTTTACGGGACCACGGGACCGGACCCGAGAAACCTTCACTGTACTCATCTCTGTCTCGATAGCAGTTATTCAAATGCAATAGGCTTTGAAGGGTTTGCAAGACAAAGAATTTATTTTTCGTTGAAATCGACATTTTCTGTCTTTCACTTCAAGTCGAATTCCTATTATGGCCGTTGCCTCTAATTCAAGGGAGTCAAACAAAAAGAAATCATAATTCACTCGTTGTCCACATCGTCGGACAAGTTCCCCTTTCCCTATACGCTCACAATCACGTCTGAAAAGCGTTCTGCGAAGAGCGACAAAGAATCATTTACCGATATGCTTACTGGTGAGAATGAAAAAAACTGTGTAAGAGCGGGTAAAAATGTTATAAGATAAAAGATATAGTATATTGTGTGATTTCGAACGCTCACCTTGCACAAGAGCGCGTCGTCGTCGAATAAAAAACAGAAAATGACTTGGTGGCTCTCTATAAAAAGAGAAGATTTCTCGGTTTCTCTCTGTTTCTCTCTCTCCGTTTTTCCGTATGAGAAATGAATTTCTCATTTTCGAAACAGACAGAAGAGATGCTCGACACTTGAATGTCTGTTTGTTGATCGATCCATTAGTGGTGGAGAACATCTCTCACCCTGAGGCTCCCAGGCGCTCGTTTTTTTACTTCTAATACTTTTTAAACCGAACAGCCAAAGAAGAGATTGCCAGGAAAAGTTTCGTCGTTCACTACGGTTTGAGATGCTCACAAATAATGGTTAAGTGTTCCAGAGAGACTATCGAAATAGGGACTCAATCATTCGTTGTATCGAGATATTTGTCGAGAAGATCGTAAACAGTGAGCGTTGTCGATAGAAGTGAACTCCGGCGAATCGGAATTTGGCAAGAACTCTGACGAACTGATTCGATAACTTTTTCGAAGATACAGATTTGTATAAAACCGTTTCTTGTTCACAATATTTTTGAAAAAAATCATACATTCCGAATCAGCATCAAATTCTGCATCTAGTGATGCATGATTCAACAGAATTTGAGGAAATTTTTCGAGGTTCCCGAGGCTCTCTAGCAGCGCCAAGCCTAGTGAAAAATGAAAGTCGTTTTTTGAGAGAAACAAATACGCCATTTTACTCAGAATTTGATGCTGATTCGGAATATGTGTTTTTTTCCAAAAATATTCTGAACAAGAAACGGTTTTGTAGATATCACTCCTTCATCAAACTCGTGAAAAGGCATTTTAGTGCTGTTCATCCGATCTTCATATCTCAGCCAAAACTGAGCCAATAGATCTAAAAAACGTTTTGGACACCTAAAAAAATGCGCTCTATGAAACAGTACATTGTCAAACCGCGACAATTGATGTTGGAGATGATTGTTTCTCCAATTGTCCTCTTTCGACGAGGTCATCGCACTACTCTATTATTCGAACTATCGCAGATCATTAGTGTTAAAACTTTTGAACCAAAAACGACAATCTTGAAAAAGTTCGACTTTTATCGAAAACTTTTTTTCGAAAAAACGAAAAAGAAAAGACGCGGAGCAACCCAGGACTGGTTTTGACCTTGCTCAAGGGTCTCTTCAGCTGGGTTATGGTATGAACATGGTGAAAAAAATGAATGCACGTGCTTACGTGTAACTGTTAATCAAATAATAACAACTAATCTTGTTTTAAATAAGAAGTTATGTTCTTCTTATTGAAGAAGAAGAAACTAAAGCACATTTCTCTATGGATAAAAAGAACTCGTGTTCTTCTATCCGAAAAAGACGAAAATAGAGCGCAAGTCTGTGTGTGTATATCGCTATGAATAAAAAGAAACTTTTTATTCCCTCTATCGAAAAAGAAGAAAATAGAGCACTTGTTAGCCTTTTTTCTCAAAAAAAACACATGCTGCTTGAAGAAGAAATTCGCACTCGCCCAACAAGACTAAAAGAAGAAAGAACACCTTCGAGTATTCCGGGTGGCGTCATGATAATGTTAATATTTTTGAATCAAAAACGACAATCTTGCCGTTAAGCATGACGAACGATAGATTTCGAATGTTTATTTTCGTAGAAAAAGGGTAAAAGAGTTCGAATTTTTCGAAAATCTTTTTAAAACCGAACGGAGCAACCCAGGATCAGTTTCGACCTTGTTCAAGAGTCTCTTCAGCTGGGTTATGGTGTAAAACATCGTGCAGAAAATGAATGCACGTACTTACGTGTCTTGTTAGTCGAATAGTAACAACTTATCTTGTTTGAATAAGAAGTTATGCTCTTCTTATTGAAGAAGAAAATAAAGCACATTTCTCTATGGATAAAAAGAACTTGTGTTCTTCTGTCCGAAAAAGGCGAAAATAAAGCACTTTATTAACGCCTGACTTATGTTCTATCCCGAACCTGAAAAAATTTAAAACTAAATTGATGTCCCAACGATTGTCTAATCATGGTTATTTTATACTTAAGCTACCTATAATACCTAATGAGCGCATTTTTGACATTGACTTTGCGAGATGTCGGCTGAGCTTTAGTCAGCTGAATGCTGATCTGTATGCACGCTCACTTGTACCGTCTCCTAACTGTGCTTGTGGATTCAGTGAAACTGTAGCTCATTTTTTCTTACATTGTTCGCTACACAATAAGGCTCGTACAGATTTATTTCATGTTATAACAAGAGTTTTAAATAACAACAAGATCACTATTGATCATATTTCATTACGCTATCCATGTATGGCTACCTTATCCGTACCACAACTGGGAGAAATCTACATAGCTATCATTCGATATATTAAATGTACCAGTCGTTTTCGGCTGCCTTGATGCTGTGTATTTCTTTTCCTTGCATCTCCACTATTCACCCTGGCAGACAGATTATATTCCACTCTCCTCCCTCGTTTCTGCTTAGATCATTCATGCAGATTAATTTATGAAATGCATTCTTACATTTCTTTCTTTTTTCTTGCTATATAGTATATTCATTACTGTTTTTATTTCGGTTATGAGCTTTTACATGTGTTGTTTTAATGATTCTCTCATGCAAATTAGGTTTTTTCTTTTTCTCTCTTTTACTTTGTCTCTTCACTTTCTCTCAACATATAATGGGCTAGGCCCTCTTTGTTGTGTAAATTTAATACTTAGTTTTAAATAAACGAGTTTAGAAAAAAACAAAAAGCATATGTCTGTGTATATATCGCTTTTTGAATAAGAAGGAACTTTTTATTCCCTCTATCGAAAACGGAGAAAAGAAAGGGCTTGTTAGCTTGTTTTTCTCGGAAGAAACGCATATTCTGCTTGAACAAGAATCTTGCACTCAGCCGACAAGACAAAAAGGAGAAAGAACACTTCTGAGTATTCCAGGCGCCGTAAGGTGGGGGTTCCAGTCGAAATCTTGTTTTTCGAATGCCACACTCGTCCGGTTTTTCAGTCGTTCGATGTTCTTCCATCCAAGAATCTCTAGAAGAGTGCAAAAACCTGAACAACAGAGGTGGTGGCGAGTGGTGAGAGTGAAACACTGGAGAACATTCTATCAGTCAAACGACATAAAATTGAAGTCTTTAGTTCTTACCAGCAAAGTCAGCATTAGACTTGTAGTTTTTGACTGGCTACAAAAGGCATTATGATAATGTTAATATTTTTGAACTAAAAACGACAACCTTGCCGTTAAGCATGATGAACGATAGATTTCGAATGTTTATTTTCGACGACATCCACACATCACACCCCCACTATTCTCGATTAGGGTTTCCTCCGCGAGTTAAGAACAACGCCCTAATGCTAAAGCATTCGGAGCGTTCTTGATCACGGACCCAAGTATGTTTACTCAAATCCACAGGTAGCACTAAATCGTTTAGATAAGGAAATCAATTGTATGAGAGAAAAAATTCGAAAAAAGTACTTTCAGCTGCCTATTGAACACTCACGTACTCTCAAACTAATCGACACGTTTTCTAACAACATAAAAAAAGACACCCAGCCACGACTTAGACAGGAACGACGCCATACGTCGGGTACACAAAAGATTCACAAAATGATTGATGAACTAACACGAAGACAAACTGACAATGGACAGATGACAATCTAAAGTATTGCATGTCGATACCGCAGAAAACTATTCGAGAAAATCTGATATGTACATGAAGAAGACAAACGCCTACGTCGAGATACATCGAAATCTCCTACCTGAGATGATCGACTCAACTCGTGAATTA